GCGGAGAAGGCGCGGCCGGTCGTGACTGTGTGGCTCCTGCCTTTGCGCGGCTCCGACCCAGAGGTCCTTACCTTGCTCTTGACCTCGATGACGGACTCTGCGGAGCGCGCCGGTGTGCGGTGGTGCTTGGCCATGCTGCGGGCCGGGCCCCACGCCGCCGCCAGCGCCGCTCCAGCGGCCACTGGGGATTTTCACAGGCCATGACGTCACCGGGCAGCAGGTCGGGCGCGCCGCGCCATTGGCCAGGCGAAGCGGGGGGCGTGGCCGGAGGGTTGCTGACAACGTCGCCGTGGCAACGGGGGCGGGGCCTTAGGGCAGCTGCGCCCCCACCTCTCCCCTGCTTCCCCCCCCCGCCCTGCTCCCGGGACCCTCATTAGCGGCACAATTAAACCCACCGTGGAGGCACCCGCCCCGCTCCGGAGCCCCTAAGGTCCGACACGCAGCAGCGTCCCCGGTGAGTCCCGCGGGTGTCACCGGCTGGAGCCCCGACTTGGCCGGTCCCGGCAGCAGGAGGTTACCGGCGGAGCTCTGCAACCCGAGCCATGGGCGTGGTGCTGAGGGCTAGTGGTACGAGGTTTCCAGCCCCGGGCTCCACGTTCTTGCTGGATTCACACCCTGCACTTCTGAAGGATTCGTTACCACTCTGGCGGCATTTATCATTTTGGGAAGAGCTGCTTTACTGAGTGGTTGGGTGGGAGAGATCTGACGGAGAATCTGCAGAGGTATTTGGACTGGCTGGATCGATGGGCCAAGGCCAATGAGATTAGGTTCCTCAAGGCTAAATGGCGGGTCTTGCACTTGGGTCCCCAAAACCCCGTGCAATGCTCCAGGCTTGGGGAAGAGCAGCTGGAAAGCTGCTCGGTGGAAAAGAACCTGGGGGTACTGAGTGACGGAGCTGAACATGAGCCAGCTTGTGCCCAGGCAGACAAGAAGGCCAGCAGCATCCTGGCCTCTGTCAGCACCAGTGTGACCAGCAGGGTCAGGGCAGTGATGATCCCCCTGTACTGGCACTGGTGAGGCTGCACCTTGAATCCTATGCTCAGTTCTGGGCTCCTCACCACAAGGGAGACATTGAGGTGCTGGAGCTGGTCCAGCCAGAGGTGGCTAGTCTCTTCCCCCAAGGAACAAGGGATAGGACAAGAGGAAACAGCTTTAAGCTGCACCAGGGGAGGTTTAGACTAGAGATCAGGGACAATTTCTTCCCTGAGAGGGTGCTCAGGCATTGGAACAGGCTGTTGAGAGCAGTGGTAGAGTCACCATCCCCGGAAGTGTTCACAGACTGTGCAGATAGGCCCTTTGTGACATGGTCCAATGGTGGCCTTGCAGTGCTGGGGTAATGGTTGGACTTGATGATCTTGAAGGTCTTTTCCAACCTGACTGATTTTATGGCATCTGTGTGCAAGGAATTTACTGGGTGTACAGCAAAGTGCTCATCTCACTGTACCATTGCAGGGCTGGGACATGCTCATCTCCTAGTATTGCCTGTGCACCCATGGGTGATGCCCTCAGGATGTGTCTCTGGTGGGACCGGATCTGTGGAGGCACAGCAGTGCTCTGGGATACACAGGCAACCCCCCCATGCTGCAGCTCTGACTGCGCAATGCCGGAGTGTGCCGCCAGCACCAGGGTCACCAACCAAGGCTGAAGTCCTGCTCACAGGCTCTGAGGCAGCTGCCATGGTGGCTGCTGGGGCGTGACAGCAGCACCATGAAACCTACCATGAAGCTACAAAGGGCAGTGCTTCCTGCTGAACAAACACACTGATCCAAACCCTGAAAACCAGCCTGGCTTCTCTAGATCACACAGTTCTCCGATCCTTGCCCCATCTCGGCCTGTGGAGCAACCTTTGTCCAGCACAAAACTGCATCAGCAGTGGCACCACCAGTGCTCTGGTCCCACGGGGCCAGGCCGTGGATCCCACAAGCTCTTCCCCTACACTACAGGGGAGAGAGGGAGCCCGGCAGGCTGTGAGGCCACGGGACACCCTCTCACATACCCCCATATCCCCCACTGGCCTCCTGCAGTGACAGCAAGCCTGGCACACACAGAGCTGTGAACTCATCAGCAATCCTTCCCACCTGCCAGGGTTTTGCTTTCTTTTCATTTTGAGGTCAGAGATAACATTGATTTAGACCAGAGTTAATATTTGCACAGGCACCAGTGACAAAAGGAGCTTGCAGCCCTTCATCTCCAGTTTTGGTAAGTGGGAGTTAATTGTCCGGCAGGCCACTGGGGTGACTTGCTGGTCACACATTCCATTTTGCACCGTGAACCTGAATTGAGACCTAAACTAAGCAGATGTTATTGGGGCAGTTATTTGTTTTGTCTTAGTACTTGGAGCTGTGAATCAGCCTCTGGGATGGGAGTATGTGCTACCAAACGTCCAGACATGTCCAACAATTCCAGGTCCACCAGCTCTAGGCTGCTGTGGGCTCTCGGCAGGGCTCAGTATCCCAGCTTGGAGGGGATGTGCTAAGGTCTGGCACGCAGGTTGGTGGGCACTTCAGGAGGTCTCTTCTCCACCACCTGCTCAAAGCTGGGTCAATGCTGGTGCTGTCTAGCATGTTCCCATCAGCAGGTGCTTTTCCCAGTGTTTTTCTGAGCAATGCAGTGGGCAGCCTGGGTGAGCTCTGTCCCTCTTGACCATGGCAGGGAGAAGTAGAGGAGCTGGAGTTGGAGGCAGGATCAGTGCTGCAAGTACAGCTGCACACCGGTCCACAGGCACAAAGAGTCCCAGCAAAACACACACTTGGAGCTGGAGCATCTTGTTTGACACTAGCCTCTGTACAGCTTTGCATTGCAGCTGCCTCCCTCTGGGCACTCCAAGTAAAGGCTGCACCTGAGCGAGCAGCAAAGTCACCTTGACCTTAGGGGGTATATTCGCACAGGCAGGCTTGGACACTGCATTGTTCTTTCCCTCTTCCACTGCCATCAGGAGCTGCAGGACATGGATCAGGGTCCTTGACACAGTGTCTCCTTGGTGTGGTGGGGCCACAGAGCTGAAGGGGGATTGAGGCCAGCTGCAGTGCTTGCTGTGGGGAGGGATGCTGCACAGGATCTCCAGCCCAGCAAGGATGTACCCTGGCAGCTGTGGAGGGTTTGTGGAGCAGATGTTGTCTCAGCTCATGTCTTTGCAGCTCTTCCCCAGGAAGCAGTGAGGTGATGCATCCCCATGGTGCAGTGTCTTTTCTGGTTGCAAAATCTAGTCCTGGCTGTAAACTCATCCATGCCCCTGGGCAACAGGTCTGGCTGCCAAGGAATACTGAGCAGCTGATCAACACGGAGAGTAAATACATGGCGCTGGCAGATAAAACTGATATCTCACATTCCTATGATACTGTCTTAAAGTACGCTAAAACCCCCTCCTGGTGCATCAGTATCATTACCGCTGTTTTTCCCGGTGCTGGATCACATCTCAAAGGAAGGAGGAGGGCTCAGAAGCTGCTGTTGTACATTTTTGTTTCATTTGGTGTCTTTTTTTTTTAATAGTGATAAGTTCTTGAATTGCCACCTTTCTCTAACCCCCCTGCAGGCTCCTTTTGCACCACTCAGAAGCATGGTGTGTTCTGTCCCACGAAGTCAGCAACAAACCTGTTGAGGTAACTACACAGATCTGGTAAAACAACCATCAGAAAAGTGATGTTTCACCAGGGCCAGACTGTGGATCTGGCTTGCACAGCACCCCACAGGGAGCTGCAGGAGAAGGGGAGAGGGAAGAGCAGAGCCAGGGAACCCTAAAACTGGTGCTGCTGTCAAAGTTGATGTGTGGTGGAATCACAGAATCACCCAGGTTGGAAAACACATTCAAGATCGTCAAGTCCAACTGTTCCCAGCACTGCCAAGGCCACCACTGAACCATGTCATGAACGGCCCTATCTACATCTTTTGTGAACACTTCCAGGGACAGTGGCTCCACCACTGCCCTGAGCAGCTTGTTCTAATGCCTGAACACCCCTTGGGGAAAAAATTGTTCCTAACCTCCAGTCTAAACCACCCCTGGTGCAGTTTGAGGCCATTTCCTCTTGTCCTAACCCTTGCTCCTTGGGAGAAGAGACCAGCCACCGCCTGTCAGGCAGTTGTAGAGAGCGATAAGAGCCCCCCTGAGACTTCTCCAGACTAAACCCCCCAGTTCCCTCAGCCATTCCCCATCACACCTGTAATTCAGGACCTTCACCGGCTCTGTTGCCCTTCTCTGGATCTGCTCCAGCACCTCAAAGTCTCTCCTGTAGTGAGGGGCCCAGAACTAAGCTCAGGATTCAAGGTGCGGCCTCACCAGTGCCCAGTACAGGGGGATCATCACTGCCCTGACCCTGCTGGTCACACTGGTGCTGACAGAGGCCAGGATGCTGTTGGTCTTCTTGTCTGCCTGGGCACAAGCTGGCTCATGTTCAGCTCTCTCAGCATCCCCAGGTCGTTTTCCACCGATCAGCTTTCCAGCTGCTCTTCCCCAAGCCTGGAGCTTTGTATGGGGCTGTGGGGACCCAAGTCAGGACCCGGCACTTTGGAGCTCTTCCCTGAGCGAAGGAGCCCGGCGCGGAGCCTCACGGGCTGTAGGGACCTGGGGTAACGTTCCTGGGCTGCCAGCGATGGACGCAGGTTTTGGCAGGCCTGCGGGGTGGGTGTCTGAAGGATCAGACGCACCCGGAGGCGGTTCCGGCCCCCCTCGGAGCCGAGGCCGGGCCCTCTGTTGCGGGCCGGGTCAGCCTCGGCTCCCCCTGGCCCAGCGAGGCCCTGGGCGGGGGTCGCGGTTGTCGCGGTGACGCCGCGTAGACCTTGGAGTCCCCGCCCATCGCCGGTAGGCCCCCAAACAGCTCCTACCTCTCCCGCCACCGCCCTCTCCCGCAGCCCTCCGTCCCATTCGTCCACGTCTTAGTCCCTCTCCCCTCTCCCGCCGCTGCCAATCAGCTGCAGCCACCGCAGCCCTGCGGCAGGGCGGGGCGCGCAGTCGGCCTATAAAATACTCTGCCGGTGACGAGTGGGGGTTTAAGGCCGCCCGACCGCCATGCGGGAGTCTTTGCTGCTGCTCGTCCGCAGCCCCACGCAGCGGCACCCGGACCTGCGTCTGCGCGCCCAGCCCGCCTGGACTGTACGGCGCCTCAAGGCCGAGCTGCGCCGCCTCGTTCCCGGTGCACCGGTGAGTTCGCGACGCCGCTTCCCGCCGCACGGGCGCTGTGGGGAGCGGAGCCGCGTCCCCGGGGTGCGCTTCCGGGGCCATCCCCTCACCCGGCCGAGCCCTGACCGTTTCTACCCCCGACCCTCCGAAGTGTCTCGCACCCAGCCGCCCTCCTGCGCGGGGGATGCTGGGGGCTGAACTCAGGTTCCGGGTCGGCCGCTGTTATACATTAACGGCTTTCCTCGGGCTGTGGGCTGAGGAGCGGTGTGCGGGTGGCACCCGCTGCCTTGGCGTCTTCCTTCGCAAGCTCTTGACTCCTCCAAGGGCAGGCAGCCCGGTCACTGCTCGACTGGGATTCTAGACGTGAGAATGCAGAAGCTTGAGTTCCTTCTGGGCCGGCACAATAGGAGCCGAACTTCGCGGTGCCCCGCAATCGCTGTCTCGGCAGGAGGACGCGCTTTTTGCCTTGCTTTCCTGAGGAGGTTTCCCGGGAGCTGGGATCATTGTGCTTTCGCCCACTGCTGGGCTGCAGTGGAAAGGACACGGGGTTTTATCTTCATCCGCCGGGATTCATCTCGTGGGGTGTAACGCGTTGACTTGATACCACCACTTCCAGTGCTGGTCAGATTAGATTGTATTTCAGACCTCTCTTTTAAGCAGCACAGATGTTTTTGGCATTCTGAAGGAGGTGGCATGTAACCAAGTTCTTTGCTAAAAGAGTACTTTATAGCCTCCTACTGACTTAAACTTCATTGTCGGTAAATCTTGCACTTCAGTGTTGACTTGTTTTCATCAGCTGAATTTCCATGTGCACAATGTACCTTAGTATATAGGGTGCTTCCAGCTGTGTCCCTCTGTCCATCTGGCTGCAAGTTGTCAGTTAATGCTGGCATGTGCTTGGCAGAGCAAATCATACTGTTCTTTGTTTTCTCTCTCCAAAGCCTGAAGAGGACCAAAACCTGATTTATTCTGGTAAACTACTGCTGGATCATCATTATCTGAGAGAATTGCTGCCAAAGGTGTGTGTGTATATATATATATAATATATATATAAAACTTTTATGTGCTGAAACAAATCAAGAAAAGTGATTGTTTTTTGAACATGTCCCCCCTTTCATTTTTAGCACGGGGAGTTGCATGCTCTTCATCTGGTATACAAATTCAGGACTCCTGCACATGTGCAAGAATCCAGTGTAGAGGTACTTAAACTAAGTGAATCTACTACTCCGAATCTTGGGCTTTTGATTAAAAAAAGGAAAGTGCTGAACAGCTATTCTAAAGTTCACTGGTGCTGCAGTCTCTGTAATGGCAGTATTACTTTGTGATAATTTGATAAGGAATGTGAGAATGTATTTGGATTAAGCAAAGTTAGAAAAATTGACTGTACAGTTCATCAGTAAAGGCTTTTATGGCATCTGTTAAGAAATATTGAAACTCATCTCGTAGCAACCCACTGCTCAGAGTACAAGTGCTTTCTGGCAAGTTAATTTTTAAGCAGGGTATGACTTACCATGTCTGAGGCTCTTTGGGACAGAGGCTGTGCTGGTGGGTAGAGGGCAGGGTATTAAAGTGGAAGTGGGTTCCCCTCAGGGTGTGGGGGAGGAAGAAGGCTTTTAGCTGAGGACACTGTAGCTGCTCTCATTAATGACTCAGCCCGTGGAGAAGCCGAAGCTGAGCCTCAGTGCTTGAGCTGAATACTCGCCACTCTCCAGTGCGAATGGCCAAAGCCAGTTTTTACACTCAAGCAGATGTGCTGGTGTGTCTAGAGTTGTTTGTTTTGCCCCTTACAGGCAATCTGAGCTTATCATGTCCTTGTCTGATGGTTGCTAGATGTGAGCCAGTTTTGATATGGATATTACACAGATGGTTTGCCATAGAACAGCTCTTGAATTCTGTGTGTGGTGGTTTATGTATGCAAGTACAGGCTTACCAGAGCTAAAAGTCAGACTGTCTTGAGTACAGTTCCCTCTGTTTCTTCCAGTTTTTATAACCCGATGGGACCTGACTGCATGCATGAAACGTAACAAACACAGGTGTAGATCTGGTAAACAGTAAATCAGGTTTATGTGCCAGTCACTTTTTAAGGAGCTTTAAAATGCTGAGGAGGTGCTTGTGGCATGGAGCCCAAGAGCAGTGTCAGTGCTGAGGCAGTGCTGGAGCTACTGTGCAGGCCAAAGTGCATCAAGTCTGTAGCAGTTATAAGAGTGTGCTCATGTGCTGTCCTGAATAAACCTCACTCGCTGCATTGCTGTCCCTAGGTTAAAGCTGATCAGCCAAAGTTACCATCAGAAGCTAGTCAAGAACCAGCTGTACCTTCCTCAGATGGTGAAAGACCAAGATGTTCTTCTGGTGGCCAGTCTTCAGCAGAAATCAGTAATGGGTAAATATGACTTTCAAAACACTGGCTTTGTGTTGGATATCAGCTTCTTATGCCACATATATTGTCTTAAGCCCGCAGAATATGGGTCAAAGATGATTAAATTATATATAAAAGCTTCAGTGGACATGTAAGAAGCTGAAGAAAAAATGCGCTGCTTGGTAATTGAAAGAAATCATCCCTTTATTCATGTTGGTAAAGAGATGTCGTTAATGCTCTGGAAGGAAACCCTGATTTTGCATTAGGGTTTGCAAAATGGCTGAAACTATTTACATTGGCCTGTAATAAATGACTTGTGCAGTTTGTCCAGTATTTGCTAATGAATGTGTTTAAATTTTAACCAAGGCTGGAAACAACTCAACGTCCCTTCCAAAGTGTGGCTCCTGGCTTCTCTGTGTATACAACCTACAACATGCTTCAGATGTCTTGGTTTCAGCAGATCTATGCAAGACAGTACTACTTGCAATAGTAAGTTTTCTGTCCAAAGCTACCAGTAGGAAGTAGAACTGTAACACAAGGAAATAGAGAGCTGCTGGCAGTTCTTCTTTTGATGGTAGTTGGTATTGTAACTTCACACTGAATGGTGTGGGAATGTTCCTCTACCTATCATGTGGTGTATGGCTTCTGGTTTAGGCCAGTGGTTTTGAATCTTGCAATCTGCAGCTCTGATTCTTTTGGGAGGGCATGTATCTGTAGAGTAAGTGTAATCCTGATGATAAACCTTAGCTCTTCACCATATTTTTGACTGCTTAAAGTAGCACAGAGGGGCACTGACTAAAAATAGGTAGTAGAGGTAAAGCTGAGACTGGCAGGAGCCTTCCAGGCTATTTGTGGATTGCTGAAGAGTTTTTTTGCGAAGTATTGAAGTTTTTCATAAAGTCAAAGGTTCCTGGTTTGACTTCCTGAAGTCACTTCTGTGTAACCATTGTCATGGATAGAACTGAAACTGGGGTTTCTGTATCCTCTAAACTTGATGCTTTCTACTTGCATGTAATCTGACTCTTGTTTAAAGATGCATGAACTTTCAGTGCCTGTGTTAAGTGTAAAATTGTTTGACTAAGCATTATTTTCTACTTTTGTGTTCTCTGATTTCAGCTTGGCTTCTACTGCTACACCTGCTGACCCATCCCATGCACAACATTCTCAAGAGATTCCAGTGGCACCAGTGACAACACCGGCTCCTCTCCCAGATGTATTTCCTGCACAAAATCAGCCTGGAAACCAGAATGCTGCTGCCCAGGTTAACGCAGTGGCCAACCATAACTTGCAAATGAATGCACAAGGGGGTCACCTCATGGAGGAAGAGGAGGAGGGTGGCCATCGAGATTGGTTGGACTGGCTCTACTCAGCAACGTTGTTCTATGTATTTGTCAACATGATTTATTTCTACTCCAGTGTCAGCAGATTCCTCCTGGTTATGGGTGGCGGTATCCTGATGTACCTGTAAGCGTATGGTGTTACTATTTATTGTTGTATTAGAAAGGTTGGGATAAATCTTAGAAGCACAATGAAGATAATGGGTCCTCAGCTGATGTGCTTTGGGATGTCTTGCCTGAGAAAGATAATCTCTCCTCTCAAATTCCTTGATCACCTGTGAAACAAGTGATGAAAGCCTCTGAATTCCTGCCAGTAGGTCTAAGAGTTAAAGCTGGAGCAGCTCAATTGATCAGTTCTGCCAACCTCTATGCAGTCTTAGGAGAGTGAATATTAATTGCTGTTGGTAATTCTAAAGCATAATGTGAACAGCTTGCTTTGTGGGTTATACGTCTGTGCTGTAGAGATGCAGACCTTTTAAGAAGGTCTACATGGCCTATGTTTTGGTCAGAGTGCTGCATTTCATATATTCCTTGTGCCCCTTTTCTTAGGGTGAGTACAGGGAAGTTACGCTGGGGTGCACAGAGCATGGTGACCAAGCAGGCCCTCTGGCATCATGCTGGATACACACGTGGATGTAGTGCTGCTTATTCTGAGTGCAAGATGATGGTCAGCCTTCCACTCTTACCCCATGGCTTGCTGTGAACAGGAGGCTTTGAAAGTGCTTGCTGGGTTAGGGCAGAAAGAGACCTTAATATGCTAACCTTGCTGTCTGCAGCTCTGAGCTGTATTGGTGTAACAGAAAGGAGTAATGTTTAAGTAGTAGTAATATGAATCTGTTGCCTTCCCCAGGCACCGTGTTGGATGGTTTCCATTTAGACGAAGACCAGTTCATCCCTTCCCAGACAATGCTCCTCCTCAAGCAGCTATAAACCAGGACCAGAACAATAACTTACAGGTACTGTCTTTTTATTTTGTTTTTAAACCATGAGCATGAAAACCTGTGGAGTCCTACTTTCAGTTTACTAACGACATGTTGTAGCAGCAACTTTTCTTTGAACTTTATTCAGAAGCTATCTTTCATGGGGGCAGAACTGCCAGCCTGAGTCCTTCTTTGTTAATTCCCCTGTTCTACGAAGTATTTCAGACTGAATGTTGTCACTTAGTTGCTTCTGTCCTTCAGGATGTTGTATGGAGAGTGGTTTGTCCCAGCTTCTGTAGCTGAAGGCAGGGTTTAGAGTGGTACCTTGGTGGCAGGATTTGAGTTGGTAAGCAATCAGTCATAGATTTCAATCTGATGCTTCTGTCTGATGTCCCGGAAAGTTGTGAATTCATCCACAGTTCACCTGAGCCTGGTGCTTTCTGTCTGTCCTAAGCAGTATTCCTGGACATGCTGTGAGAGTTCACCAGTAACACCAGTGTGCAGCTTGGGTTTTTGACTTGGTGGTGGTTGTCTGGGATACTTGCAAGCTTTTTATATTATGACAGCGATATTTGGGTAACAAAATGCTGTTTGATACCTGATACTTCTAATGCATTTCTGAAATTACCTTATTCACCAAATACCCTTTCTTTTGGCAGGGGGAGAATGCAGGTGGAGCCGATGAATCTGAGACATCTCCTGATGATGGACAAGGCTTACAAGAGCTGCAGCAGACAAACCCTTCACTGATGGGCACAGTGTGGGTTTTCTTCAAGACTTTCTTTGCATCCCTCCTTCCAGAAGGGCTCGGAGTGACCCACAACTGACCTGTCACCAGTCTGCTTGTCTGACACTGCAAACCAGGAGGGAAAGTAGATGACAATTCTGGCTTTCACTGACCAAGCAAATAAAACTGCAAGAAGACTTAAGTCATTGCAGCCTAGAGACTGAGATGCTTGCCCTTAGTCAAAAGAATTTTGTCCTGAAGCATTTATTAGTCGCCTGTGTTGAGGCTTGGCCTTGTGAACTTGTGCACTAAATGCACAGGCTCTAAGCAGGTGTGCAAGAATGTGAGAGAAGCAAATTGCTGCTTCTGTGCAATGTGATTCCTGTTGGAATGTCTCAAATGCTATTTAAATTACACTGAGTGTAGGATCTCAAAAAAAAAAATTGCTAGATAAGCATTAGCAGATTGCAGATTTTAGGTCTATTGTTAAATTGCTTCAATAGTTTAAAATTTTTGTAAATATTTTCCTATGAAGGATGTACGATGCATGATGCAATTCCCTTGCTGGTTGGAAGTGGAGGACTCTTACAGTGACTTCTTAAAGCAATTACCTTATTGGAGTTGTAGGCTAAACTTCATGTTGCTAAATTCAGACAGCTTAAACTTGAGGCTTAATTTTCCCCTGGCAGATCATGAGAGAAGAGTGTGTCCAGCTCTAACAGGAATTTATGCAAGATGTAAACTTCAGTGCTTTTGGATGCAAAGTTAAAGCAGTCTAGTGCCTGTATTCAGTTTTGATGCATTCTTACTGCATAGCAACCCCCTTGTGTTACTTCATTTTGTTCCCTTTAGTTTCTGATACTGTCAAGGGCTTTGATTCCAATAAAACTTTGCAGGCATTCATATCCACACTTGTACAGCAGTCAGAAGACCACCTGTGCAAAGCACAGTGAGAATGAAGACCCTAGGCCCACTGTGTAGGAGAGGATCTGGTTTGAGACCATCTTAAAAACCTGAATGTACACAAGTCCATGAGACCTGATGAAATCCATCCGTGGGTCCTGAAGGAGCTGGCAAATGAAGCTGCTAAGCCACTGTCCACCATATTTGAAAAAACATGGCAGTCAGGTGAAGTTCCTGATGACTGGAAAAAGGGAAATATCACCCCCATTGTCAAGAAGGGGAAAATGGATGACCCAGGGAATTACAGACCAGTCAGTCTCACCTCTGTGCCTGGCAAAATCTTGGAGCAGATTCTCCTGGAAGGCATGCTAAGGCACATGAAAATCAACAAGGTGCTTGGTGACAGCCAGCATGGCTTCACTAAGGGGAAATCCTGCCTGACCAATTTGGTGGCTTTCTATGATGGGGCTATGGAACTGATGGACAGGGGTAGAGCAGTTGACGTCATCTATCTGGACTTGTGCAAAGCGTGTGATGTGGTGCCACACGACATCCTTGTCTCTAAATTGGAGAAACATCAGTTTGATAGGTGGACCACTAGGTGGATAAAGAACTGGCTGCATGGCCACACACAGAGTTGTGGTCAACAGCTCAGTGGCAAGCTGGAGACCAGTAACAAGTGGTGTCCCTCAGGGATTGTTGTTGGGACAGATCTTGTTCAACATCTTTTTTGGTGACATGGACAGTGGGATTGAGTGTGCCCTCAGCAAGTTTGCTGATGACACTGAGCTGTGTGGTTCAGTTGAGGGAAGTGTGGTTCAGGCTGCAGGGAAGGAATGCCATCCAGAGGGACCTTGACATGCTTGTGAGGTGGGCTGATGCCAACCTCATGAAATTTAACCATGCCAAGTGCAAGGTCCTACACCTGGGTCGGAGCAACCCCAGGCACAGCTACAGGTTGGGCAGAGAAGAGAGTCAGAGCAGCCCTGTGGAGAAGGACTTGGGGGTGTTGGCTCATGAGAAACTGAGCATCAGCCTGCTTCTGTGTGCGCTCACAGCCCAGAAAGGCAACTGTATCCTGGGCCGCATCAAAAGGAGCGTGACCAGCAGCTTGAAGAAGGTGATCCTGCCCCTCTATTCTGCTCTTGTGAGGCCTCACTTGGCATATTGTGTGCAGTTCTGGTGTCTTCAACAGAAAAAGGGCATGGAACTGTTGGAACAAATCCAGAGGAGGGTCATGAGGATGATCAGGGGACTGGAGCAGCTCCTGTATGAAGACAGGCTGAGAAAGTTGGGGCTCTTCAGCCTGGAGAAGAGAAGGCTGTGTGGAGACCTCATAGCAGCCTTCCAGTATCTGAAAGGGGCCTATAAGGATGCTGGGGAGGGACTGTTCATTAGGGACTGTAGTGGTAGGACAGGGGGTAATGGGTTAAAACTTAAACAGGGGAAGTTTAGATTGGATATAAGGAAGAAGTTCTTTACTCTGTGGGTGCTGAGGCACTGGAATTGGTTGACCAGGGATGTTGTGAATGCTCCATCCCTGGTGGTGTTCAAGGCCAAGTTGGATGAAGCCTTGGGTGGCATGTTTTAGTGTGAGGTGTCCCTGCCCATGGCAGGGGGGTTGGAACTAGATGATCTTAAGGTCCTTTCCAACCCTAACTATTCTATGATTCTGTGTGCTGTCACCTTGATTTTATTGTAAAATCCTGATAAATGAACTGGGATGTTGTCCTGGGTTCAGCAGTAGCTGCTGTGCCTGGAGCTCGAGTAGCTGCGCTGACTGTTGCTTTGCCCTCAGATCTGCCAACATTCTTTTCCTTTTGAAGGTGCTGGATAGTGTTGAACAAGGCCCTGTAAGCATAGGCCAAGCCCCAGCACATTGCCATGATTTGTCCATCTCTGGTATGGCCAGAATGACCACACACCTCATTTAAGTGTTTTACTGATTCTTCCGGATTTTGCAGTTGTTCCGGTAGTGAAATTCCAAAGCACTGGAGGGGCCCACTGACCTAGATACTTGCCCATACTACCCCGCACACCCTGCCACTCATGGCTGTCCAGCCTCAGGGAAAATCTCTTGGTCCTCCTACATCGTCGTTTGACCCCAGACAAGACCCAAATCTGACTCTACTTAACTCTTGAAATCATTCATGGGCAAAACACACCCTGTATGCATGCTAGCACGGTGATTCCCATCACGATCAGCAAGCAAGTCTCAACAGCATTAAAAGGCCATTCAAAAACTTCAAAACTCTCAAATGTAAATGGTCTGGGGGGAGGACTAGGAGGGTAAAAGGATGTCTCCTTCACAGGTTGAGCACCTGAGAAGGAGAAAAAATATGTGTAATTGCTAAGCACATCTGCTATATACCTCCCAAAGTATAAAGGTGGTGACCACACTGGGAACATAAGCCAGATCAGTTTCATGATCAATGATTCTATTGTATTACAAGTCATTACCATAACGTACAATGAGACAAAAACCTTAGCCCAAGCCCCACACTTGAAAAACACTAATACAGCAAATACTGGATGGAAGTAAGATACGATATACTGAAACTGTGAGATCAAGAGGAACAACCTTGAGAGCCAGTAATCAGCATTGTGACGAGTGACTATTAATCCGGTCAGATCTGTTGTTATCTCAACCCCTCGTGCCCCATGTTGGGCACCAAAAAGAACTGTCGTGGTTTAAACACTAGCCAGACAGCTTGTTCACTCACTCCCAGTGAGTGGTGCTGGGCTGACAGCAATCGAGGTCCCCCCCCCCCCCCCAGGCCTCTCCCCTTCCCTGCTCCCGGAGGAACGGGGAGGAGGACCGAAAGAGTGCAACTCCCACGGGTTGAGACAAGAACAGTCCAGCAACCAATGTACAACACAAATCACCACTGCTACCACCAACGGCAACAATGATAAGAGAAAACAACAAGGGAAGAGAATACGATACCACCGGCCAAGAAACGAGTCCCACCCGGAACCCATGTCCTTCCGGGTAACTCCCAGTTACCCCCCACGCCGGGCATGACGTGCTGTGGTATGGAATACCTCTTTGGCTAGCCTGGGGCAGGCAGCCCGTCTGATTCCCCACGGCTTCCCCTCCTCCGTGGCAGAGCATGAGGCTCACAAAGTCCTTGGTCAGGGTAAACATCACTTAGCAACAACTGAAAACATCAGTATCACCAACACTGTTCTCAGGCTGGAAGTCAAAACACAGAACTGCACCAGCTACCACGAAGGAGAAACATGACTGCTACTGCTGAACCCAGGACAGATGTGAAGGGAAAAAATGCTCACAGTGCCTTAAACTCAGCTCCTCGCTGAACTGTATTCTACATGAAGCAAGCTTCAGCATTTAAACTGCCTGGGATAGCTTGCAGTTTGTGTTTGCTTACTGAAGGCTGCTGGCACAAAGGCCGTATACACCCTGAAGCAGGTAATTCTGCAGGGATCTGGGAAGTCTGAAGTTTCACCCCTTGAGTCCTGTGTGTGACTAGTGATGCTGAAGTGCATTATCTTGGCTTGAAATGTGCTGCCTAGGAACAGCAGCTACTCATGAGAATTGTAGTGCTTTTCCTCTGTGCTACCCGCAGTTGGCAAAACTGTTTGTCAAGGAGTGTCTCATCAGCGCTGACGCACAGGAGTTGGTACCAGTGGTTGTAACAGCCCAGCTGGCAGCACTTGATCTTGCTACTTCAGATTACACTGATGCTAGAGATGTGGTGTTCACCTGCAGTACCAGGTTTAACCTTGGTGATGTTATTTTTGGCTTTGAACAAGTTTTCTTTCTCAGCCTCTTACCAGTTAGTTATTTTTCTGCCACAGCTTCAGTTTGCTGGAGGTTTGGGAGGGATAGGTAGAGTTTAGCAATGAAGGATTTAAATGCTTTGAAGTAAATTGAGAGGAGATGACTTGTTACTTAGGATATATTCTGCATAAGCCTTTGAGTATGTTTGCACAAGCAGTGTTCCCTCTTTCTCTTGCTAGTGGTAAGCCTACTTGTGTTCAGGATGTTTTTTCTTCAGGATGTATCTAATTACTCAGGTGTCTCAAAGTGCCTAAATCAACTGAGATGTGCATGGGCCTGGAGGAAATCTGCCAGTTTCTTGGCAGACAGAGCTGAATGGGTTCGGTGTGGTTTAGGCAACAAGCACCAAGTGCTGGATTACTTGTGAGCTTTATCAGAGACAGCAAAACATCTCTTGTTGTCTTGAGGCTTTTGCTGCTCCCACATGTAGGCAGATTGGTTTAAAATTAGCTGGAAAACTAATTAAGCATAGCTAAGCCTGCTGGAGGCATGTGGCAAGGTTCCTGGCCCTTGGAGAGCATTTCCTGGATGGCTTAGTGAAATTCATCTGTGGGGTGGAGGGAAGTACATCAGGGGGCACTGGGTGGATCATGCGAGTAACTGGTGTGTAATTCTGCTGCATCCTGGCAGGAGCCCTGGGAATGAGAGGCTGAGGGCACTGGGTACCAGTGACTGGGCTAGCTTGATGGTATGTGGAGCTGTGAGTGTGGTGTGATCCTAATTGCTGCTAATCCCTCACCAGGGATCCCTTGGCTTTGCCTGAGACAGCCTGGGAGCAAGTGGGGATGGCTGAGGTGTGGGAGTGGTGAAGGGAGATGGAGGCAGCTCAGCCTAGGTGAAGGGCAGTAGGAACAGTGAGGTATGTAAATAGTGATGGTGAGTGAGGAAGGGGAGATGGCCTGCATGCCTGCTGGGGTGAGACAGGAGCATGGGCCTTGAGTTAGTTGACTGAATTTAGGTAAGACACTAGAATTGTATCATAGAATCATAGAATGGTTTGGGTTGGAAGGGACCTTAAATCTCACCCAGTTCCAACTCACTTCCACAGGCAGGGACACCTTCCACTAGACCAGGTTGCTCCAAGCCCTGTCCAACCTGGCCCTGAACACTGCCAGGGATGGGGCAGCCACAGCTTCTCTGGGCAACCTGTGCCAGTGATTTGAGCCTTGAAACTTCCAGAGCAAGGCTGCTGAAA